GGGTAAAAAAAAACAAAACAAAACAAACTCCTACATATATGGCTAGGTATGATAGTACAGGCCTATAATACCAGCTACTCAGGAAACACAAATAGGAAGATCAAGGTTCCAGTATAGCCAAGCAAAGTTATTAAGATCTGATGTCAAAAAAAAAAAAAACAAATTTTATGTGGTGTACTACAATCCTACCTACTCAGGAAGTGGAAACAGCAGGATCTTGGTACAAGTGTAGCCCAAGGAAACTTGGAACCCTATCTGAAAACAAAGTAAAAGCAAAAAGGATTGGGTTATGGCTCAAGTGGAAAGACATTTGCCTAGCAAGCAAGAGGCTCTGAATTCAATCCCTAGTACTACTACTACTACTAAAAAAAAAAAAGAAAAGAAAACACAGATCTATGTATATGTTGGGAGAAAAACAAAATTTGTTCTCAATCAGTAGCTGGATGCAATAACAGTTGCCTATCATCCCAGCTATGTGAGTGGCTGAGATTGGGAGGACGGGGTTCCAGACTAGCCCAGACAGAAAAGTTCATGAGACTTCATTTTAATGGAAGAAGGTAGATACAGTGGCATATGCCTGTCATCCAAGCTGCAGTAGGAAATGAAAAACAGGCTTTGGTGCAATTGTTTACCTGGGCAAAAAGCAAGACCGTATCTCACAAAAAGCAGTGCAACAAAGGTTTGGAGGTAGAGGTGTGGCTTAGCTGTAGAGTTCCTGCCTAGCAAATACAAGGCCCTGAGTGTAAACCCCAATACCACTACCAAACAAAAGGAACGAGGGGGGTCTGCCACAGAAATATGTTCTAAGGCTCTAAGGAATGACAATGTTCAAGCTTTCAACTAAAGGAATTTCCTTAAGGTTCCTAAAGGATAACACTCCAATACAAATACTTTTTTTAAGTTAATTAAGGTAGAATTTCTTTAACCTTGGGAAAATCCAAATTGGGAAATATTACCCACATAAAGAATAAACTAGTGCTCAGAGAAGCAGACCATGATAAAAGCACAGTGTTTAAAGATGTGTCCCGAAATCTGAGTGAGTCCTGCAGACTTCTCAATAGCCTAGGGGTCAAAAAGCCTTCTTTGGTAAAACAATTTCTATTCCTGGCTAGAAAGAGAATACTATTCTTACAATGCATGCACTTCATCTATAAACCAAATTACTTCCTCTGGATGGGGTTAGAAAAGATGGAAGAGGAAGGGATAGTTGACATTGATCAAGATACACCATACTTAAAAACTGATCTGTTGGTTGGGGCTGGGAAGGTGGCTCAGTGGTAGAGTGCTCACCTTGTATGCCTGAGGCCCTGGGTTCGATTCCTCAGCACCACATAAGCAAAAAGAAAAAAGCTTGAAGTGGTGCTGTGGCTCAAGTAGTAGAGTGCTAGCCTTGAGCTGAAGAGCTGAGGGACAGCACCCAGGCCCAGAGTTCAGGCCCCATGACTGGACCCCCCAAAAAAAGCAAAAAAAACTGATCTGGTGAATTGAAACCCCTTTTACAACTACTTAAATATTTGTTTTTTAAAGACTACTTCAAGGGGAAACAAAGGAGAAGGCTACAATGCTTGATAAGAAATGTACTCATTATCTTGCCCATGTAATTGTAACCCCTCTGTACAGTATTTTAACAATAAAAAAAGACTACTTCAACAAAATAAAAAAATATCATTTTTTCCAGATCCGGTACTGATTCTGTTAGAGATACCCTTATATTAATCCAACTGCTCATAATAATAAAACAATAGCAAAGAACAACATTTCTATGGTATTAGAAATTATCTATCACATTATGAAGTATTATATCAAATCCACAAGAAATAGAACAATGGGAACAGGCCAGGACCTAACAAGACCTATTGCCATAATAATCTTAACCTGTTTAGATGAATTCTGCTTAATTAACCACATTATCTAATGTCAATGAGAGTACTTCCCAGTATGACTTTAGTGTCTTCTTTTCTCCACTGTCATTTTCAAAGTCATACTTCCGCTAGCCAAACTCAGTGATAAGTCTTAATCTGCCAAGCCAGTCTGTGAGGCACAATAGAAGCAGCACAAGAGTCCACATAAAAGGATCCAAATTCCTACTTGGTTTGGCTGTTAATAGTAGAACATATTTCTTAGAACATATTTCTGTGCTGAGTTGCTCTTTTTACCTAGGTTGGCCTGGGATTGCAATCTTGGGCTCAGCTTTCCATGTAGGGTAAATGACAGGCTAGCCTCAAACTACAATGTTCTCAATATCTACCTCTGAACTATTCATACCTGTTAACTACTAGATACTCAGAGGCTGAGAATGGTTGGACTGTGCTTTGAGGCAACCTTGTGCAGAAAACTTCTAGAGACTATAACTGGGTGCAGTGTTTCATGCCTGTCATCCCAAGGATCATGGTGTCAGGCCAGTTCAAGCAGAAAAGTCCACAAGACTCTATCTGCATGGAGGGAAGGTGGATACCATGATATCAGAGAAGTCATAAACTAGACAGACCATGGCTCAAGCCTATTCAGGAAATGAGATCCCATCTCAAAAATAGCCAGCAAAAAAACAGGTGTAGGTAGGGTTATGGCTCAGATGATGGCGGACAACTTGTTAAATGCAAGACCCTGAGATCAAACTCCAAGACTATTAAAAAAAAAAAAGGAAAGAAAGAAAAATCTTGATCACAATGCTTCAAACAAAATCTCAATTCATAGATGCAGTACTTACTGTCATCATGACCTTAAGGTTTTGGAGTGTTCCATACTATTAAGAACACTGCTGCTTTGCCTATAACATTTCCTAACAGTATCTAAGATCCTTGCCCTGGGGTCAAAAGGCATCAGTGTTCAAATAAGCTTCACAACTATTCATCAAAATTAGTTTCATTTCTTCAGAACTATTCAGAGCCTTTAGGTTGCAGACAGAATCTCTACCAAAGGGATATATCTCCCAAAAGCATTTAATGAGGAAACTTTGTTTCACTGAGCAGCTCTTGGGACTAGTGTCAGGAGGAATAATGAATGGAAACTACCCTAACTCAATGGAAAAATGGAAGTAGCAACAAAGTTTTTAGCAAACTATTATACCTAAACAATGTTGGGTATGTGAAAAGATTTTAAACTTCCATCACCACAAAAGTAAAGGTGTCAACATCCTCTCCGTCTCCAAACAAATTAGGCTGTGGATTTTTTTTTCTTCCTTTTTTTTAAAGCAGCACCTATGGGACTACTAGGGCAAAGAAACGCCCTTGCAAAAATACGTGTCAACAGAAACAGTCTTCTTCACTAAAGTGAAATAACAAACAACCCAGCTTGGTATTACAGCTACTACAGACTATCCTGTGAGATGTTCTATCAATTACAAGCTATTCTGCTAGAGATGTACTGTCAGTAGGTTATCCACCAGCCATCTGTTGAAAGATGAAACAGAGTCTAAGAACAACCTCCACACTCAAATCTCCTCTTTCAAAACTCTCCTCCATTCTCTCTGTCTTCTAACATCACCAAGGAACTACCACTAGAGGAAAAGCTAGGGAACTAAAACTCTACAGGTACATTCTGCATTTACTAAACTTCACACATTGTTTTCTTTCTGTTTCTTCTAAGAGCTAACTGGCTGTCAAAGTTGTACCTTTTGTGCATATTACTGCCTTTTTCACTCACTTCACACAATATCACTAATTTTTTTTAAAGTTCCTCTTAATCAATGCCATTACTTGGGGGGTGGGGGGCTTTATGTCCTATCCCTCCTTCCTACCTAGTATTAGTTTCCCTTGCCCATGTGGTTTCTTTTCTGACAAAACATCTTTTCCCCTCCTACTTTTTTTTCCTGCCTTGCACACTTGCTTCAAGCTGAACTCATGGCCCAGAGTTAAAAGCTCTTCCAAGCCTGGATGAGGATGAGGGTGGCAAGATTACAAGTGTAAATTAAAGGGGTGAGGGGTGGGGGGCAAGTCTTTATTTACGTGTAACTTCTGGGAAATTCAGAAGGCCGTAAGAATCCTTCCTAATGCCAGTTATAAACGAATTATCAAAGTTCCCTTCACCGATGTCAACTCCAAGGCCCTAATTCTGGGCCTCTTAAAGAAAAGAGGACGTGCTGAAGTTTGAGGAGCAGTCAGTCGGGACCCAGAACTTGTGATCCCCGGTGCTGCCCGGGACGGAGACCCTTCAGCCGTGCATGGCTCCAGGGGATCCCGCTACAGGTACCTCTGTGGGCGGAATGATCCGCCTCCCATTGGGTCTTTCTCCCGGCCATGGTCCTTCCTCCCTGGCCTCCCCTCCCGGGGGCCTGGGAGACACCCCCCCCCCCAGCCCCTTGGCCCTCAGCGCGAGGATCTAACACAGACTGTCGAGGGCCAGCTGGTACCTGGTCATAAGGGGACTTCTCCAGCATCTGCGTGCACAGATCGGCGCAGAGCTGGAACTTTCTGCGCCTAAAATAGCTCCAGGCCAGAAGCAGCGGGTCCATCTCCGAGGCCATGGCGGCCCAGGACGGCCCGCGGAGAGCTGAGGTCGGGCCCGGGGAAGGCGGTGGGTGGGGGGGGCGGACAGGCGGCGTCAGGCTCTGCCCGGCAACGCGTAGCGACGGGGCCTCGCCGGAGAGGCGTCCAAAGCATGCCTGAAAAAAATTATTTTTCTTCTTTTTTTAATTTTAAAAAGCACCTGCAGAACACCAACTATAGAGGATGCCTACACTTACATGCAAAAAAACTGCGTGCTTTAGAGCTACAAGATGTCCTTAATCTCAAAAAGTAAAACCTTAAGAGTTAGTCAACGTAGACACCTCGCCTAGGGTCCTTCGCCCTCCCAGGAGGCGCAGTTGCCTAGCAACCGCACGCTCTGCTTACAGCGCCAGTTCCGACAAGTCCCTAGGGTCGTCCAGGGTCACGTTCTCTCATTCAGAGTCTCATTTTCCTTTGCGGGCCTAGGAACGTCCACACGGAAGCAGTTTCTTCCGATGCCCGTGCAGCCCATCGCGATCCAAACCCTCCACGTTCCGCTCTTGTTACTCCGCCGAAATGACTGTGTCAGGATCTCAAAAGAGCCTAAGAGAGAGCCTGGTCCACGCCAGCACTCACCGCACGGATGCCAAACACAACCACGAGACACTGTTTCCCGAAAGCCTCGTTGATTTAGAGAGCTGTGGACTGGAGGCTGTTCATTCTACATTAAAAATCGGGGACATTTTCGAAGTAGACGATGTATGCCAAAAAAAAAAAAATTAAGGAACTTTAAAAAAGTTTCACTAGATCGCCAGGCTGGCCACGAAGCTCACTATACCCCTGCCTCGGCCTCCAGTGGTGGGCTTGCAGCCACGCACCGCCATACATGGTTAAGGGAATAGCATGATTTTTTCAAGTATTTGTTTAAATTTTTTATTTTTCTGCTTGCTCTGGATTGAGCCCAGGATTTTGCACACACTGAGCAGGGGCTGTATCACTGAGCTACACTTCCAGCCTTAGGGCATTCTTTAGGCATCTATTTTCTCAGAAGGCATAAATACTCAATAGAAATGATTTTGAAGACAAATATGTGGCTGAGCTGAAGCCAGGTAAATTTCATGAGCTACTGAGGAGATCTTTTCCCGTTCTTTCCCTCCACCCCACCCCCACCCCCTTCCAACCACATTAGGAGGAGAAGGAAAATAAATCCCAATACTGGCAGTACTTTCTGATCCAGTCTAAATCTCCTTTATCGCTGAAGATAACAAACTGACAATGCTCTTAGCAAATACAAGTTATCTGGGATTTTCTCCAACCACTAGGGAATCACAATCACACATTATATTTTAGAGACATTAAGTTGAACTGTAAAATTGTAAACTCAGCAATGGATTGTTATAGATAAGAATTTCTAGAACCATTTTACTGCAAGAGATAATAAAGTAGAGAGAAACAGCTTAATCTCTTTAAACACTTCCCAATCAGCTCTAGATCTCAGCCCAGATCTTTATCTTTTACTCTCCAGCAACTAGATATCTCTTAAGGTCAATTCCCTTTTAAAATCAAACACAGTTGTGTAATGTTAAATGCTCAAGGCTGAAGTTTCTTATATTTCAGACTGGATTTATTCAAGACACTTAATCTGCCCCCAAAAGAAAAAAAATGAATAGAAAAAAACATGCTTTTGTCAACAACATTCATCTAAACCTTTTGGAATGAGCCCCCTGGCAGAAATAAGTCTGAGCCTGGTGCTATATATCTATAATTCCCTCCCTCAAGAAGCTCCTGAATTCGTGGCTAGCCTAAGCTAGTTAGTGAAATATTTCCTATAAATTAATTTAATTTAATAAATTAAACAAGTACATAGATTTCCTAAGTATATTTGTACATAAAATAGTTACTGAACACTGAACTTGAGGTCAGTTGTGTGTTCTCAGGCAAAGTAGGAATCAATATAGGATGATGATTGAAATCCCAATATTGCTAAGTTTTCCTGAAGACCTCAAGAAAACTGTCTTCATATGATATCGTGAAAATCTCATATCCTATTGATACAGTCTTCTTGATAATTTCCTATTTATTCAACATATATTTATTGAGTTCCTACTTATGCCAGCTACTTTTTAAATTATAGGGATATAACCTCTCTGTTCTCATGAATGGGAAGAGAAATTATAGCTATTGGTAAACTAGGAACATATGAATATTTGCTTAGCTTGTTAAAGCATACCTGCCTTAAACCACAGCCAACAACATACATAACAGTGCACCCTTAGAAGCCTTCTCAGTAAACTCTAAAACAGAATATGCTAGCAATATTATTATTGAATATTGTTCAGGAGATTCTAGTTGACAACCATACAAAAATAAGAAGTTTAGCTATAGGAAAGACAGAACTAAAATTACTGTTCTGCAGCTACAGATAATTGTTTCTGAACAAAATTTTATTATGTAGGAAATCTGTTTCTGTCTTTTTCAGTGCTCGGGATTAAACCTAGAGCCATACTCCCAGCTCTTTTACTATTGGTTTTCAGACAGGTTCTCCTGCTAACTTTGCCTGGGCTGGCCTCAAATTCATGATACTCCCACCTCCACCTCTCAAATAGCTGAGATCATAGGCAGGAGCCACTAGTCTCAGCTTAGAAATCTGCTTTTTAAAATATACTCATTTTTTGGGGGGTGGGGGGAGGATGGGAAGGGATGGGAAGGGGAAACAAAGAAGGAGGCTACAATGCTTGATAAGAGACGTACTTGTTATCTTTCCCATGTAATTGTAACCCCTCTGTACAGTATTTTCACAATAAAAAAAAAGAAAAAGAAAAAATAAATAAATAAAATATACTCATTTTGTATTATGTAATTTATTGGACATTTTGTGATTGTTTTTTTGTTTGTTTGTTTTTTGGATCAGTCGTGGGGCTTGAACTCTGAGCCTGGGTGTTGTCCCTCAGCTTTTCAGCTCAAGGCTACCACTTGAGCTACAGTGCCACTTCCTTATTGGACATTTTGATCTCGTAATTTGGAATGCTGCCATCATCATACGCTGATTTTGATGTATAGTAAATGTTCAGTGCCTAACCTATGTAGTGCCATTGATGTAAACATCAATATTTATGACCAGTCGGTAGTTTAAAATTTTATAGTTTTTTTTGCAAATCCTCATATTTTTCTTATTTCTTCAAATTTATATGAATCTTTATGAACTCCAATAATGGTCTTGTGCCTTAGATTGCTGGCATTTCAAATACTTGAACAATGATTTTTTTTTCTTTTGCTTATCTGGTGAGATACTATTCCATAGAAATCTCCAAATCAAAAAGTGCTATAAAGCTAGTGACTTCCCTGAAAATAAAAATCCCTCTCAATTTCTGTACATGAACTGCATTGCATTAATCTCAAATTACTGACCATCTGCCAAGAGCCATTTTCCTCTCGTACAGCTTCAATGAAGTCACCACCTGCTATTTTGGCAAAGACCTTAAAGTGAAAACTACAATTATCAAGCCTTGCCTTTGATTCTAATTCTGTTTGTTTAAGTCTGAATATCACAGGCAATTACACATTGACTAAGGTGATCCAAACGGGTGTTCTCAGGAATATTTATCAAGTTCTTCTGATGCACATTGCATTCGACAGCCTGGACAGGTTTAAACTAAGCACATAAAGAGAACTGATTACACTCAATTGCTTTTTCTATCAAGCTTCTTGTACTCTGAAAATCAGATTGTAAAGTCTGAAAACGAATTAATTTTCAACAATAGAAGTAAGCTTAGAGTTTGGTTGATGTAAATTCTGTCGATGCAACAACCAGCTCTGGCTCCATCTTATCCTGATGTTACTGAATACAATGGAAAAGAAGGTCTATTTCTAGTTACATAGCAGATTATTTTCAAATATTTTCAATAGAAAAATAGATCTAAATTTTTAAGATAAAGTAGTGAAATCTGCTTTAAATATTTAAGATGCAAAAAACCTACTTGATTCTTTAATGTGATATACAATTCATCTTCACAATTTTGCCTTTTACTGTGATCTGCCACAAAGACTCATATATGAGAGGAGAGCAATAAGTAAGAAAGTGCCTTTGCTTTGGCTAGCGCCCTGCTCCTTAGAAAAGCAAATTAATTTGCTTCAGAATGCTTTTCTGACACCATCTAAATTCCTTTAAAATTGTTCAGGTTTGAGCTGGATATGGTAGGGCACGCCTGTAATATCAACACTTTGGAGGCTTGAGGCAGAAGGACTGTAAGTCTCAGGCTAGCCTGGGCTACCTAGTGAGATATCAACAAGCCCTCCAGGTTGTAGTTGCTGGCCACTTCTCTGAGCACATCTTGTCCTTTCCTTCATATTCCACGTGCAAGTGACACTGGTTTCCTTGCAGGTCTTACTAGGACATTTTTTTTTGGGGGGGTCCGGTCGTGGGGCCTGAACTCTGGGCCTGGGCACTGTCCCTCAGCTCTTCAGCTCAAGGCTAGCGCTCTACTACTTGAGCCACAGCGCCATTTCCGGCTTTTTTTCTTTTTGCTTATGTGGTACTGGGGAATCGAACCCTGGGCCTCATGCATGCAAGGCAAGCGCTCTACCACTGAGCCACCTTCCCAGCCCTACCAGGACATTTTTTTTTCCTACCAGGACATTTTATACCTGTAATGTTCTGACAGCAGATATCCACCTGCTTCCTCTCCGTGATTTCATAAAGGTCCCTAAGGACATGTGGTTTCATTGGACAGGTCTTCCTTTCAAATCATCTCCATTTCCTTTACCTGATACATTTGTTCTCAAGATATTTTTTATCACTAAAAAAGATGTGTTCCTTAAACAAACTTTAATCAGGTTCCTTTGGCCCCTGTGCTCCACTTGTTCCCAAACTTGGGCTTTTGTATGCTTTCCTACAGAGTGCAGTTTCACTCAATTGTTTTAGAATATGTAATCACTCTCAATAGCTGATCAATTTCTTATTCTCCACCATCCCAACATCTTTTGCTTTCTTTCAGCAAGAACCCTGTTAATAAGAATTGTCTTTCTCTTTTATCTTTGGTTTATTCCCTGTGGTCAATGTTTTGGCTTTGTATACCCTTTGTCTTGTATATAAGTTTATCTGATTTGGAGAAGGGAAAGGGAATCATCAAACCTGTAGGACAAAGGGTGAACCAATTCAACAGTGATACTCACTAGACACTGTGTTGAAAATGAATTTTATAATTTGGGAGGGGAGGGACATGGTGAGGAGTGGGAGAAAATAAGGGAGGGAAGGTAACACTTCAAAAAGAAATGTATGCATTATCTTTACTATGTAACTCTAACCCCACTGTACATCACCTTTACAATAAAATTTAAATTAAAATAAAAAAAGAATTGTCCTGGGTAAAGAAAACATGGTACATAGTTATACAATGGAAATAATACTCAGACATAATGAAAAATGAAATGTTGTTTGTTGGAAAATGAATGGAATTGGAGAACATCAAATTGATTGAGATACACCAAAGCTTAAAAAGCCAACTATTAAATGTTTTTGCTTATTTATAGAAGGTAGATCTAAAGGACAGACATCCATGAACATGTACATACATAAATACAAAATACACACATATATGTATATTGTATACACTTATATGTGTACATGCACAGACCATGATTCTAACTATAGGACTGTTTAGGGGGATGATCATGAGGGAAGAGAGGAAAAAGAAAGATGTAGAGTGCATAATTTTGAAACACTTTGCAATTATATATGAAGATTGGTTATAAAGAGACTC